GTGAAGGGGGGGTGCGAGAGGTCACACCCCTGTGTAATGAGGGTCATGGGATAGAAACAGTAATAACAGACAACGTAGAATTAGAAGAGGAAGATGAACTTGAATCAGAATTCCACTCATCCAATTCATTATCAGAAACGTCAATAACTACTAGTAATTGAATTGAAACCCACTTAGCTTTAGTAGAGTAACCTATAACTAATTAAATAGCTGTTTATTTAGTCTACGTTTTCTTCACAGCCTGAGCTTACTTTAAATCTATTATATCTTACTAGTTATATAATTTAATAAGTATTTAGCTATCAATTACTTTATTTTAACTCTTTCTAATATATTTCTTATTTTTAAGAGCTACTAACTATTATATCTTCTACTATTTATTAACTATAATCTACTCTAAGTCCTAATCCTTATCTACTACAATTCTAAAGTACTTGAAGTATTTTATTATATCTAAAAGTTCTTCTTTATTAATAGAGGAATTTTCTTTTAATATAAGCTTAGCCTTTCGAGTATAATAAGAGATTAATAGAATTCTTTAAAGTTACAATAGCGGTAGAGAGAAAAAATAATAATAATTCTAAAATATATCTACAGTATCCCGGCCAAAGTATTTGCGACCCCCCTGCAAATATATATGGGGAGCCTCGCAAATATTTCGCCGGGGTATTGTATATAGAAGTTTATTAAGAATATATTGAGTATTAAATGGAATCAAACTAGCTTTATACCATCTTCCTATAGTACTTTCTTTAGTATATATGGCTTATCAAGCTTAAATAAGTAAAGAAACCTTCGAAATTATGAAAAATAAGAATCGAATTGTGTACTGATCAGGAACGGTTTTTTGGCCGCCCCAACGCCAGTGAACTCACCAGTACGAACTATACGCCCGTGGCCTCTGAATGCAAACTATTTTCGTTCCTGATACAATCTACTACTTTACTATATGCTTTTTAAAGTAGAGAAAACAAACTAATATTTAAAGATTGAAGTAAATAAGTACTATATAGTAGTAAATAATAGAGCTTAATATTGACTTTATTATAATACTAAATAAACTCTAAAGTAATATATAAATTATATTTATTAATAATAAAAAGGTAGTAAAGAGATTTTTACTATAACTTATAATTTTATTATTTGATTAAAATATTAAAGCTATTCTATTCCTAACTTGTAGTTTATTTATTCTATAAGTAAAGTTACAAATAAGTAGTTTATACTTCTGAATCTTTTTTAAATACTAAAACCAGCTTATATATTACTTTACTTTTTTATAAATAATTAAAGAAGGTAATACTATACTATTTCTATAGATAGCTTTCTATTACTATTAAGTTATACAAGCTTTCCTATCATTTCTTTTTCTCTTTATCTATAAATAACCTTACATTAATCAAACTTGCCTATTATAAACTCCTTCTCATTCATATTGAATTATATATCTTTTGGAAGATTAAATTTTTAGATAATTATACTTAACTTCTGAAAGTAATTGCTTAGAACCTTTAGATTACTAGCCTTAATTCTCTTTTTGTCGAATACAGATGAGAACATTACTACAAGGTCTGGATACTAATTGAGGAACCTAGTAATTCAATTCTTTCCAATAACTTGATCCAAGTTCTCAGGTTCATCCTGCAAATCATAACTACTTTTCGAACATCCACCCAACCAAACTCGCCAACCAGACGTCCCTCCATGTGTGTTGACACACGCGGAAGGACGATAAAACCTCTGCAAATTAAAAAGTCTTAGTCTGCAATAGGGTTATATTGTCTTTCCCTTTCGCCTTCCCAACCCAACTCCAGGTCTTCCACGTCTTCAAGGGTCATGCCCATATTTTGCCATGGCATTTCTCGAAACTTTCTTAGTCCTTCTTGTACTTGTGGTATCTACTTGTTCACATAAACATCCAACTTCTTCTGCTGGAAGAAGTTTTTACTTTTAATTTTCTCCTATTAAATAGGACTATTCGGGTGATAACCTTATGTCCTGTTATCTTGAGGTGTGGGGTTGGCGAGTTTGTGGTATTGAAGGTCAAGTCTGGTTGGGGAGTTTGGTGTGGAACGGAACTAGCACACAACAGGTATTTTCTCGTCCTTCCGCATGGTGGAAAGCCTGCAAGCTCCAACCGATATATCCAGTGTACAATAGCTCGTTCCTCTGCTGCTATTACCAGGTGCTGGCGCTCCTGTCTGGCTACTCTGCCTTGTCCTCCATGAAAACGTCTTCGTAAGGTAGTATATGCAATACTATTGATTTCGGCCGCCTTGCGGATCGATGTGTAGAGCCCAGATTGGAGTCCTTTCAGCGCACGAGTAATGGGTGACTCTTTTTGGTTCCGTAACTTGAGCTTTCTCGACTTCACTTGACCCATTTCGCAAGCTTGGAGCACCTAGAGGCTTTGAAAATATTTAGCTAATAATCACCCTTCATTGGCGAATTATACCTACCATTTGTCTGATTCCCCGTTAAATTTCGGTCTTTGGGTAGTTAATCCTGAGGGCGAACTGGTATTGAACTGTGGGCTTCGGCGTTGCCCCGCTTGCCCGCATTTGTTGGTCGCAGACCCTTGTCGCTACCCTTGTCACTAGCGCGTGGGGGCTAATCCACATCCCGATTGGTGGTCCTAATCTCGGTGATGATGGTATCGTGGAAAGGCAGGTGCTTGTGGAGTAACGTTCGCAATTCCATTACTCGGTCTATAGTACATGAGGGATTTAGTACAGAATTTCCCCAACATTATATCCCAATCTACCTATAAGGTTTGCCATATAGAAGGTCTTAGAGTCTATATTGTTATTTTGTTTAAAATCTACACTGCATAGTTGACTTGCGCCCGCTTATTGCAGTTGTTAGTAGTTTGGCTTCCATTTTGTCCAATAGCAACTTATAGATGTGACAATGCTTCGCGGATATTAACTCTCCATTTTCTATACATGGGTCAAATAATGCTCTAGCTGAAGTACTATTAATTAATACCTCAGCTGCATTTGTACTCCTGGGATTCATAAGTATCAGGAATTGTCTCTTATCAGATTTAGACTTATTATGTACATGCTGTGATGTTCTTCTTCGAGCTCATCAGGCTCCGCCTTCAATACTGGTGTCTTTACGCGGTCAGCTTCTGCGGTCTTTGCCACTTTTGCCTCCTCACGTTGCTTGACCCAGCATTCGGCTTCTGTATGCCCTTGTCTTTTTCGTCTTTTCACCCAACAGTATTTGCATAATTCCTGTGCTCTGGCCTTGTGGAGGACAGCCGCATTCCCTCTTCATCCTCTATTTTTTCCATAAATGGTGCCGCGCTGGGTCATTCAGCTTTCTCACGGCACCATCATACGCTATCCTTTTGTTCGAATGTTTTCGACCGTGCTTGAGTCGAGTAGTAGTAGTGATCGTATTAGGAATTCTGCTTTGGCCTGATCGCGCTTTGAAAATTCTCTTAATCCTTTCCCAATTGTGTACAGTATCCGTTTTGATGGCTACTTTGAGGATGACTCGAGCAAATGTAAGTATTCCATTCGTTCATACTTCGTGATGTGTACTTCAATTTTATCGTTGCCATCATCATACGTAGGTAACAAATCCTCCAGGGGTGCATCGAATTCAGTGGCTTTCTGAGATCCAGAGCTCCTTTTGCGGTTGACCTGTTGCGTCTCGTTGCAAGTATATGCTCTTCTCAATTCTTTGTGATTCTCAGCAATGTTTTTGTTGTCACATACAGTACCCTCCATGCTGGTAGCCCTGCTTTGGCTTTTGTGGCAGCTTCCTCGTTAGATATTTCTGTGGATAATTCAGGTTGCTCGTAGTCCCCTGTAACTATGTACCCTAGACAATATTCTTTAGCCCCAATCCGAGGTTTTTTCTATGGAGATGGTCAATTTGGGGTATGTTATTAGCCCAGAAAGCTCAATCGGGAGTGCTTGGATTTTCCTGACAGATTCCAGCATGGTGATTGATGCACTTGCAGTTTCTCGGATTTGCTTACATTCAGACTGCAGCTGTGCACTTGATCCGCCGTTGTCATACTACCAAAGGGCTCGGAGGTTTGCTTTGGGTTTGGATGTCTCTTTGGTCGTCAGGCTGCTACCGTAGCTGGAGTTTCTCCTGTTCCAGGAGTTGCCAGTTGTACTTCGTTGAGCTGAGTGTTTCTCCGGTACTATATGTTTCGTGATACTTCATTGGAGCGCCGGGCTCATAATATGTAGCTCGCAAATATCCAGCCTCCAGATCTCATCATCAGCGTGAACGTCCTAGCCTCAGATGCATGAATGTATTTTTTTTTTTTTTTTAACTCAGTACTCGTATGCACAACCTTTAAGGGTCGTATGACGAGAACGCATGAATGTACCGCTGTACCAAATAGCTCGTAAATCTCACAGGGAGCTGCGCAGGCGTTCGAAAGGTGAAGGCTTCAGAAATTCGATAAGAGTGGAATTAGCTCATTTTGCGAGGCGAGTCTACTATATTGTCAGTTTCCCCTGTAGGTGTTGCCTTTAAATGGATATAGGCCTTGCTTGAGCGTTGCGTAGTGTGTATTCACTCGTTAGCTGGCGAACCTTCTGTTGCCCATTGTCTATAGGCCCATACTTACTCTTTGGAACTCTTCCTCTGTCAGTTAATGGTAATTTGTACGTTGTCGAATTTCTTGGAGTTATCAGGGCCTGGCGGTGTGTGGGGGGGTTGGGAAGGTGACAATTGAAAACTAGTTGTACAGTTATTACATAATATTGTATCCTTTAGAAAAGGATTCTCCCCTGAGAGAGCTGCTCTTCTACAACGAGATGACCGTACGCTCAGGCACTCCCGAGGAATTCGCATAAAATTAGTGAATAATAAATCACAACTTTGATAAATCACAACTTTGGCACTCCAACAATTACCTAACATAGTTTTATACTTGTTGCTCCTTTATAACCGCTGGTTAGAACCAAAATCCAAAATATTGCTTATTCAGGGAATTCTAGTTACAAAAAAATGGAAAAAAAATTTATTGAAAGGAGTGGGGATCGAACCCACGCGGTTTCCCACTGCGATACTGGCTATTAACCTGAACACAGCGCCATAACCACTCGGCCATCCTTCCTTGAATTTGTCACACATATAATATAAGTTGTTCCTCATATAGAACAATATCAACAAGTTCAGAAAGAACAATGAATGCAAACAACCTTATTCACCGTGCTATATAACCAATAAGCATTGTGTGCACCGTATTCCTCTCTCACCGGAACCTTATCTATAAATTTTATGTGTCGCATAAAAGGGACACAACCAGGACCAGTAACTTTGTATTCGTGATGGTCGGGTGTTGTTTCGCGACAAACGGTATGCAGAATAAATATATAATACGAAGCTATTTCCGAAACACGTAAAATGGCTTGCCGAGAAACTCAGAAATTATGTACTAAACTACTTTTACTATTTATTTAAACAGAATCAGTTGTGTACTTAGGCGCTAAGCCTAACTGGGAAATACCTCATGCGGTAATTTTTGACTGCAGGGCTAAGCACGCTTTGTGAGATATGGGATAGTTTTTTTTTTTTGAACTCAGTACTCGTGTGCACAACCTTAAGGGTCGTATGACGAGCCACACCGGAAACCCGGGGGGATAGGATTAGGACATGTAGTAACACCACATATTCTGCAAAGCTCTGTGGGATTCTTGTGACAGTTTTTATAACTTATAAGGTGTGAGGGTCAGTTCCTTTGCGGTTGTCACACTTCTTGTACAGCTATGATGCTAACATGGTAGACAATAGCGATCCGTGAACATGAAGCTTTCCACAAAATGGTGTGATCAAATGCTGAAATAGGTCCTGCAATGTATGTTCTTCGCAAGCGGCAAGACCCTCTGCGGGGGGTAAAAGCCCATGTAGGTATCCCCGGCAATGAGCGAGCGGACGTACTGGCGAAAGAGGGGGCGGAGAAACCTTACCCTGAAGAACCCCAAATCACAGAAGGGGGACTCAGACAGGAATGGAAGAGAATGCGAGAGGCGGAGAGAAAAGTGGCTGGGACGGGGGGGGGTAGAGTGGTTAGGTGGGGGAGGAAGGCAAGGCTTAACTACGTCCACTGCAGGACTGGGAAAGGGAATCTCCAATCCTGGCGTGCAAAGCTGGACGACACAGTCGATCCTACATGCCGGACATGTGGTAGACATGTGGAAACAGGCGGGCACGTAGCCTTGGTCTGTCCGCGTGGAGAGGAGATTGGAAGAAGGTGGAGCAATTGGGAGGAGATGGATGAGCGGAAGAAATGGGCAAAGAAGGTTAAGGACGGAGGGGAAGTATATATGGTAGACCTGGTGGAGACGTTCTTTTCTATCCTTGATCTGACCTGAGCGGAGGGAGAGGTAACGAGGGGAGGGCCGTTAGGAGTGTGGCGGGGAAGGGGGCTTATATATTGGAGATGGGCCGGCAGGGGCGTGGCGGCGGAGGAGGGGTTATTTCGGTAGTATTGATCTCTTTGGGTCGGAAGGCTGGGCGTTTAAGCATCCCGTTGTTCCGTGGGTAAACCGAGCCTTTTAAGGTAAGGGAACGGGGCCGTCTCATAGCCTTAGGCTCCATAGACGTATAGACTCCAAAAAAAAAAAAAAAACCCTCTGCGGGGCAGGGAGCGGCCCAGTGGTTGGATAATCCTGTCAGGCTTAACATGGGGATGCGCTGCCTCGTCATAAGCGAGAAGCTTCAATACGAGTACTGATTTACCAAAAAAAAAAAAAAAAAGACCCTCTGCTCCAGTGGGAGGCTATGGCAAAAGCAGCGTCCTACTTATATTGCAAGAGCGGGATTCCATACTCACTGCCTCAAAGTGAACGACGCATTATGCTTTGAACGGAATCTTTTGAACCAGATGTATCTACTGAGCCATTTCGAGCTCAACACCAAACAGAGCTCGGGAAGCATCTCGCCTATGGTGAGAGAATTACCGGATCGAACAGGCCAGCAGCTGGAATCGAAAACCAAACCCATCCAGAGCCGCCTCGGTGGTCTATTATGCTTGGGGACCGGTTAGTGTTCTATTTCATTCGCGAATTCATGGCTACTGTTGGCTCGCACAAGTGGCAAAAGTGGGGTGACATCTCGGTCAACTTGTGGCCAAACATGTGATGTATGACATCTCGTTCACCTTAGGCATATTGAGAGCTTTTGGTGGATACAAGATAGCACTAGGAGACAAGAAAGCGAGTTGGTTGGAACTACCTAAGCCGACGTGATACAGAGTAAGAAGGTGAGAGAGCGTACGAGGGACATGGGTGGGTTTAATTGGATGGGAGTTTTAGGTGTTCCATGGGAAAATTGGTACAGTTACAAAAAGTAAGATACTAGGAATATAGAAAGAGCTGAATCTCCTGCGGGAATTGCGGTGAACGAGCTCTGTGGTGTGTCAATATTTTCCCACCCACTGGTGTCCGCCATTAGCCTGGCGCCACTAGGACAGCTGGTATGTCCTTGGGCACTCAGAATGTCCTGTGCGAAACTCCCTCGCCACCAGTCGCAATGCCCAGTGTAGCCAGCCAGAAGACAGTTCCACAACAGATCTCCGCCTCCTGTGGAACAACTGAGGGAGTACGCAAAGGAGAAGGATTGGAGAAGGAAGGACGAGGTCAAGAAGGCGATGATGAAGAAGAGGAGATGAAAGAGGGAAATACGGATATGAGTTTCGCCTAGGAGCCGAGATCAAATATGCTAACTGGGTTTGTGATATAGCAAGCACTCCGTCAAGGGTTAGCGAGGCAGCTAGAGGAGTAGATCGAACTCCTTCGCAGTCGTCCTTCTTTCTGTCGCATCCAATCCTGCCCTTGTTGTTCCCCCCCAAAATCACCTATGTACACCTGTGATGCATCACATTCTTCTAAGCTCCCTACGAGGAGCTACAATTTGTAAGAGGGAGGTAGTCTGGCGGGCACCGGCATCTCGTAAGAGGGAAGTGGCATCTGGAGGGTAGTACTGTTAAACATACGTGCGCGTGCATGAGGTGCCAACCAGACTAGTTCATAAGCATATGTTCACAGCCCACACCTAGCTCACACCTAGCCCACACCTAACCCTGACGCCTAGCTCTCACCTAACCCTGACGCTACATGCATGGTAGGGGTTGTAATCTCATGTAGTTACAACGTTACATATATAGCCGCTGTATTTCCTTCCTCTACCTTCGTGATCACTTGTGTTTATACAGTTCAGTTCATTTCAGTTCAAATACAAACGAGTCTATCTTCTCTCTCCTCTGGCATGTTCGTGTGAACCCTCCTTTACCGGACATATCAGATTCTCGGTGCCCTATTACTCTCAATGGCCTGGGGTGGACTTGGTATCTGGCGGGGATCGAGGCGGAATGGTCATGAGAGGTGGAGTAGCCTGGCGATGGTGGAGGTTAAGGGTGTGGATGGATCGCAGCAATGTTGATGTGTGGCTTAAGTGGTCTTGTGTTTGACGATTGTTCACGCACTTTGGCATCGATCCAGCGCTGTAGGTGGACGTTCGTTGGGTTGGGAACTTTCTGCTGGGTCCAGGATGTACTCAAGCTTCATTCATGCACGCAAGCTCTGCATTATGAGGTTTAGCGTAATGCTAGGTACTAAATCGCAGAAGGCAGTCTGGCGTGTAGTCTAGCCACTCTGCAGGCATCATCGAGACAATACAGCGTTTCTTCCATGCTACTTTACAATATAGGTTTTGAGTAGTCTGGTTGGTTTTGAGTGGAGAATTTACAGTCTAAATCTATAGGTCTAGCAACTTACATGGGGGTCTTTCGTTTCCGCGTGAGCATCACCGTCGCATCTGAAAAATAGGAACGAGCTACCCACTGTCCACGTCAACCAGACTACTGTCAACGTGTAGCGACGGGGCGGTGACTAGTCTGGTTACATGACTCCTCCGTACGGTGACCCCTAATCTTGACGTTCCACTCCCATTGATCTCACTCTAGTCAGGTTGCGCATCACCGCATCACCACGACTACAGCGACGGTGCAACTAAGCTAGCAGCGACCGCCATCCCCCTCATTGATGAATAGATCTCTCGCCAAGCCCGCAAAGGACGCTAGGATCTACAAATTGGGTTTCTTCCCCCATCTTTTCTTCTCTTCTCATCCTTCGTAGTTCTCACCAAATTGCCTTCACATTCCTCAAGAACATTCTTCACCGTCAAGACTTCCCCAAATCACTCCATCAGCCTTTGATAATCTCTTCTCTGAGATTCACAGATCCAATCCTCATACAATGTCTAGCTCTATGCTTCAATATCCCCCTTACGTCCAAGTGACCAACACCTACTACCATCCTGGTGCTCCAATGCATACTGTGTCTGATGCCGATATTGCGGCACTTGCCAGTCAAATGAAGACTACTGTTATTGAGGGAAAGCAGGTTAAAACTGAGAATCATCAGTTTTTCTTGCAATATCAGTAAGTCTTTCTCACCTGTTAATTCAATTTATACTGTAAGTTGAATTGCCTGTACTAAACTATACTGTGCAGAATTCCTCGCTCTGCACTTGCGCAGCCTTTTTCGGACCCTACTATGCTTCCTGGCATCCAGGCTACGCCTGCTAAAGCAGCAACTGTTCCTCGTACTCGTCGTGCTGGAACACCACATCCTTCTTCTCATCTCCCGACTCCTCCCAACTCTCCCAATCACCGAGGCAGCAATAGGAACCAAATGCCACCGCCAGCCAGACCATATCTCAGGGCGAACCGTCCACACCGCTATAATCCTGATGAGCGTGGAAATGCCAAGGAGCAGAGAAAGAGGCGAGCAGCCCATAGAGAGAATATCAATAGCCTCGGTGGAGAAAGTGGACGCCGCCTGTTGACCCAATTAGTGAGTACTTCCTATTGACATTTGTAATAAATAATTTGTGAGAATGATGCTAATCGACCTGGTGTTTTATAGTGGGCATCCATCCCTAGGCTCGCTGCTCTTCAACAGATGAATACCAACGTTGCTGCAGTTAACCCAGTCGAAGCAGTGATTGATGGGCTTAACGGGATGAGCATCAATTCTTCTGGGCCTTCTCAAATGTACACTGTGCCAGCTCCTGGACGTATTGCTCGTCGTACTCGTGGAGTATTTCCTCCTC